TCAATGAAGAAGAACAAACCAAGCTTTAAAACATGTAGACAAGGGCTGGCAGTGTACCTCAATGATATGGTGACTGCCTACTAGGGTATAGCCCTGAGTTAAATCTTCAGCACCACCCCCCACCAAAGGCACACAGGCAAAGAAGATGGAAGGATGGATTTCTGGTACTAACACAAGGACTTGCAGGAAATTAAATATTTCCAGAGTGACTTGGGAATCTGAGAACTGGCCATAGAGATGCTGAAGTGGAGATCTTTTTTTTCCTTGGGAAGAGAAGAGAGAGCACTGTTTAGGTACCTGAGCACATTACCTGACCATCTGGTCTACCCGTTTGTCTTAGTTACTTTTCTTGTTTCTGAGACAAAATACCTGACACTGAAAATTGAAAGAGGAAAGGTTTATTTTGGTTCACAGTTTGTAGAAGTTCGATTTATGGTTGGCTGGCTCCAAGGTAGGATGGCATGGCAGAGGGCATCACAGAGGAGAAGGAGTTCATGGCTGGCAGGCAGGAAGGCAGCACAATAGCCAAGTAATGAGGAAGCAACCAGAAGCCAGCAGTATGCAGTGAGGCAGGAGATTCTCCCCTTTAACACTTCCAGACTGCCTGCCTGCCTTTGGGTGGCGTCATCCATAACAGCGGTGGGTCTTCCTGTCATCCACACCCAGAATGATACTTAACCAATAAGTGGACTAATTTAGTAATCATGAACTCAATTTTAGCCTTCTACAATTCAAACCTACCATCACACAGTTTAATCCTAGCATCTCACACCCTAGATGCAGCCACCTCTGAACACCCATCAAAGTACATGAGGTATAACAACACTCAAGAGACAAACGTCCAGGGTCTTAGCCTGCTCAGGGGTGGATCCAACTGACTGCTACTAATCCAGCAGAGCAACTGCCATCAGCAAATGCTCCAAAACCACTTGTTTGTTGTTTGAGGGACTCAGGTGTCTACTCTCCCCCACCCTCAGGCCATCTTTCCATGGGCCAGGTGACCCATCTGCCTGAAAGGGGAGAATGGAGCAGGGTAAGAGAGCTCCCTACCTCTGCATCTAGAGTTACACAACTGAAAGCTAAATGTCCCTGGTACTCAGGCAATGCTTATACTGACGTTCATAACCTCATTTTCAAAAATAAGGCTTAGTTTAGCATTAGTATTTTATACCAATTTAAGACTTTAAGTTCCTTACAGATTTTATAATGGATAAATGAAACTGGATAAAAAAAATCTGGCCTGTTAATTTATAACATTTTAAAATTATCTAACAGTGAGCTATTTTGTGTATCATACATGTGTTTCTAATGTATACATGTGTTTCTCTGTCTCTTTGAATAATGCAGCACATAAAAACTAACCAGTGCAGAAGATATAATTTGATGTTCAAGAGGAAAAGAACAAACGCATAACTGTTTGTCTGCATGACTAATGCAATTTATTTAAATGTCATCATTAGAAAATAGCAAATATCTGCCTGGAAATGGCTAACCGTTCAAGGTTTTTTTTTTTAAAGTCAACAAATGTGTCCTAAAGAATTTCTAAACACATAGCTGAATGGCAAACTAAACTCTCAATTTGTCATTTGTATCTTTGTAGAGCTCAAGAAATCCTGAAAGCCTGAAAAATAGGAAGGATGTCTTGTTTTAGGGTTTAGCTTCATTTAGTTGCTTTTTTCTAGTTTAGAATTGAAGTTACCAAAAGGGGGTGTATCAATGATGGGCAGATAGATTGGCTGAAAGCTAAAGAATGGCAAACAAAAAAGCAGAAGATACACTAAGAAGTAAAGGAATGTGGGAATAAAAATATGCCAAGGAATAATTTCCCCCCATATGAAACAGCAAATGATCAAGACCCACCAAAACAGAAGCAAACCGCCATCCTGAAACTTAATTACATTTCAAAGTAGTACAGTCACATAAAAGGAACAAAACATTTTTGTTCAAATGGTAGCTTGTCTACCAGATGGCATCTCTAAATATAGTAATCTGAAACCTTCTGTTTGTGCTATAAATAGGTAAAGATGAAAGGAACAGCAGCAATAGCTAAGCATTTAGACCACTGTAAATAAAAGAGCACTTTGGTTAGGTTGGGCAGAACTTGTCTCTTTGGAATAGAGATCCTAAGTCTAGAAGGGGGAAGTTCAAGGTGAAACTCCACATGGAACCTTCCAGGGCTACTGGGATGCTCACAGCGATGTGCATTGGGGACAAGAAAAGCCAGGAGTAACACGATAACTGAAGAAACCCAGGAATTCCAAAAGAGACTATACAGGGCTACAATCCAAATTCCACAGGGTTTAAAAAACAAAAAGAGCTGGGATATGCTCTTCCTTATTTCTGAGAGCCAGTATGTAAAGGTGGGTAACAGTTAAGGACCTGAATTTTGCAGTCAGGCCTGACACAGCAAACCTGTAAGATGACCTTGAACCAAGTTCCTCATCCATCAGAGCCTCACTGGCAAAAAGGAGGCCTAACAGTCCAGTTTCATGGAATTTCATTATGAGGCGACTTGGTCCTTACAACAGTTAAGTGCTGTGAAGGTCAGTTGTTATACTTATGAAAAATAATGATCACCCTAAAGTATTACATCATGATGTGCCTGATTTTTGCTATCTCAAAACCAACAGTGGCCTCTAGCAAGGTTTTCTCACAGAGAATGGAGCTCTAAGAGAGGCACTGTTATGGCTTAGATGTACAAGGTCCCCCAAGAGCCTCATGTGTTCAGAGGCGGAGCTTTTGGAAGGTGATCAGGCTGGAGCGCTGCACTCACCAGCAGATTCATCCACAGAAGAGTTCCGAGCTGACACACTATTAGAAAGTGAGGTCTTGTTGGAAGAAGTGGGTCACTGAGGGGTGACCTGGAAGGATGCAGCCCCTCCAGCCCAGCTCTGCCCTTCCCTCTTTGCTTCCTGGCTGTTAGAATGCCAGCGGCTTTCCTCCACCAGATCCTCCCACCAAGCCCTTCCTGCCTTAGGGCCACTCAGCCATGCCTGGATAGTATAAAAACTGAGTCAAAATGAACCTCTCCTCCTTTATGTTGTGGGTGTTTGGTGTTGTATCCAGTGATGAGAGACTATGATAAGCACCCAAAGCCTTCCCCATGTATATACACGGTGTATACCACCTCCAGGTGGCTTCTCCTAGGGGAATGGGCTCTTTTCCCACATAGGCCCAAAAGTCACCCAGCCCTCGCTGGGAAATGCAGATGTAGAGACAGATGTGTGCCCAGTAAGACCTGGCTATCGGAACTCAGTCCACTGCAGCCTTTCCTCCACGGTGACTTCACCACCTGCACTCATGGTGAAGCTCTGGGGGCTTCTAAGAAACACCCCCATTTCTTTCTGATCTGATCAACTGAAGACATGTAAGATCATTCCCTCCAACACCATCGGCAGGATAATGATGAGAGCTTGTCTTGATATTCAGCCCTTAACAGTAAGCAGTTTGGTCATTTGGGGCACAGCCAATACCTTGAACAAACAAAAACTAACTTGTAATAGCTTAAATATGATGCAAGCTATAATGAAAGGAAAGTGGTCATTTAATAGGCTAATGTTCTACTAGGCTGTTTCCTTTATGTTTACCTGAGGGAAGAGTCTCCTGCTAGGACTAGTCTTAACACAACTTTCCTGTGCTTTTTGTATTTTTCGAACTGTACACAATATAAAATTGACTATTTTAATCATTTTAAATGTGGTTCAGTGAAATTAAGTGCTCAATCTAGGAATGTTGCACGTCTATCATCACTATCCATGGTCAGAAATTTTTCATTATACCAAACAAAAAATTTTCAGAGATTTTATAACTCTCCACTTGCCTTTCCTCTTAACACTGGCAAGCACTATTCTACTTTCTGTTTCTATGAATTTGCCTATTCCAGATATTTTCTATGGCTGAGTAATTTGTCTTTTTACATCTGGCTTATTTCATTTAGCATAACGTTTTCCAGGTCAATCTATATGGCACCATGAATCAGAATTTCATTCCATTTTAAAGCTGAGTATTTCATGGTAGACACATAGCACACACATTGCTTACCATCTATCTGTAGAGAGACATCTGAGTTCTTTCTATCTTTTGAGTATTGTAACACTGCTATGAACTTCAGTGTTTGAAGACTGTTGGAGACCCTCTTTCAATTCTTTGGGGCTATATCAAGAGGCAGAATTTCTTGATCGTGTGGTAGTTCCATGTTTAAGTTTCTGTGGAGCGACTGGACTCTGCATTGCTGCCGTATTATTTGACGTTTCTGTCAGCAGTGCACAACACGTTCAGTTTCTGCTATACATCTTCACTGATACTTTCCAATTTTTTTGACAATTGCTACCCAAATGGCTAAGTTTTATCACTGAATTAGGTCTGTTTTGTTAACTGTTCTTACAAAAAGTTACAAAGAGGAGTTATTACATGGCTAATTGCCTAGCAAGCGGACAGCTGCAAATATCTTGTGTGTCTCAAAGAGCAAAGAAAAATATGGTCATATTTCCTAAGTTTCAAACACAACACTGATATTTCTGCAAATAAGAAATTAAACTTAAGTTTTAAAACTGCTTTAAAAACGCTCCAGCAAATTCTTAGGGTGTAAGTAGATCCTTACTCATGACCATCGCCTATAGGAGGATGATGCCTGTGAATATCTTTCTCGGGAAAACGGAACTCTTACAACAGTTAGAAATACCTTACACAACCCCAAATTGTAAAAAGCTTTCCAGGTAGAGACCGGCTGCCGCTGCGCATGCGCCATCACCTGCGTGCCAGCAGGCCGGAGTCTGTGGCGGGGGGCGGAGTTAGGAAGGGTGGAAGAGGAGCCGGAATCGGTAGGGTGGGGAGAGCGCAGCACGGGGCGGGGCCTAGCCGAAGGGGGTGGGTCAGAAGGCGGGGCCTAGCTAACAGGGGTGGAGCCTGAGGAGGGAACGGCCGCGCAGGGATTGAGCCGGAGGCGGGCCCGGGCCAGGCGGGGGTGGAGTCGGGGGCGGGGCCAGATGGACGGGGTGGGGCCGGAGGCGGGAAGGCCCTGCGGGGCGGGGCCACCGGGCCCAGGCCTCTCTCCAGCTATGGCGGCCGCGTGGGGTCCTGGTGGCCTGCAGCGCTGCGTGGTGTCGCCGTCCGGAAGACACAGCGCCTCGCTGATCTTCCTGCACGGCTCAGGTGGACCGCAGTTTCACGTGCTGTTTTTTGCAGCAGGGCAAGCGCCCTCCGCGGCTGTCCCGTGTTCCTGGGGGTGGCGCGGCCTGGCGGCGCCTGCTGCTCCTCCTCGTCCCCCGGGCGGCCTGCGCGGCCTTCGCCCCTTCCGCGTGCGTGTGGGAGGCCTCTGCGCGGCCGCCAGTCCCCTCCTTGCTCTGTTCCTGTGGGGCTCGTGAGCCAGGCCACCTTGCCCTAAGGGCGCACCGGGTGTTGGGATCCGCGCCTGGCGCCGCCGTGCCTCATTCGCCGTTGCTTTCTCTGCCTGTCTCCCACCTGCAATGCACCCTGGGATTCGCTGTCCCGTCACTGAGAATCTCCCCGGGCCAGGGCTGCAGGGCTTCGCCTTCCTTTTTCTTGTCTCCCATCCCTTTCTGCCTTTGCCTTTACCCCTCTGTCCAGAAAGCCTCCCAAAATATAGCACCAGATCTCTTGAGTCCCTGGGAGGGTGCATGCCCCTTCCCTGCCTGCCCCACACCTGCACAGTCTGTGCTTACTTCTGACTTCTGAGTGCCTCTGGGGTAAGGCCACTTGTTTTAATCCTTTCTGCTGCTGTACTTGGTCCAGAATGGGTCCCCAGGAAATGTTTTTGTTTTTGTTTCATAAAAAATGAGACACAGCCATGTCCTCAGGGGGCCCGCCTAAATTTAAAAACAAAAACAATTCAGTTAGTTTTGAGTCAGCAGTGGACAGGAGATCACAAGATGGCCCATGATTTCACTGTCAAGTGAACAGTAAGGAAGAAAAAGCTGTGGTTAGGCATTACTAAGGCATTTGGAAGACAAAGAGTGTCAAGAGTTTTCTAAGAAAGTAGTCTTTGAGCCCAGAGTGTAGGTTTCCAGGGCTTGGTGATGAGATACAGGAGGGGACTGGGGGATCCAAACTGAATGTGGGCAGCAGTGGGAATGTTGGCTTCTTGAAAATGAGGCCGGGAAGGTCCCAACAGCCTGTCCAAGGTCACTTGTCTATTACTGTGAGTCATGGTGAAACGGGACTGAGCCCAAAACTCTCAGACACCAAAAGTCAGTATTCTGGTATGCCAGAGTGAAAGCCCCTAAACAAGGTGAATATCATTGGAAATCAGGAAAAAACAGCAGTGGTGTTTAAAGGGAAAGACCTGATCAATGAAATAGCTTTAGATTTTGCAATGTTCAAGATGGCAGAAATGCTTTCCAACTGGGAAATGGGGGTGCACCATTCTGGATTCCAAGAGTATTCGTTTATAAGTACACAAATTTCCCCAAGTCTATACCCTTTCTTATAGATAAATGTATTAGTTCATAGTATATTTAGAAAGAACTCCTAGATGTTCTTTTCCTGAACCACTTGGCTTAAAGTAACTATCTTTACTCTTCAATTTAAAGTTACTGAAATTTTTATAACCTATAATGCATGTCTGTGACATCCAGGCATATAAATTTGTATATTTTTCTCTTTATGTCTGAACAAACAAATCATCTAAATAATTCTGCTGAGTGTGCAAGTACTATATGAGTCTTACATGTCTTAATTTCCATTGAAGTATATAAACCTTATGGGGGTCGGCTTTTTTCAAGGTTAGAGGCTGATGATTTTTTTACAGGAGGTGTTTCTTTTCTGGTTAACCCAAATATGAGTGTATTAGTTTTTTTACTCTGGAAATAAGGAGCTAGGTTTTTTAATTCTGTACTTCTGAATGGATAGATGGGTATTTTTTCGTAGCATTTAATCTTAATTTTCCAGACTGAAAAAGTTTAAAGACTTCATTTTTTAAAAAAAATCTTAAAAGCTTGGGGTTCTCAGCTAAATTATAGTAGAGGTGGAAGAACACGCGGAAATGTCAGTTACACATTATTGGCTTAATTTGAGCTTTTCCTATTTCTAAAACGCTAAAATGGTACCTTCTTTTAGGATGGTGAAAGTAAATGGTAGCTTTGTTAAAAGCTTTGTCTGCTCCCAGATCAGGTAAATCCATTGTGTTATTAGCTCCCTACTCTGGTTCCTTTTTCCACAGTTTTTCTCATACTGTGACCACCTAGCTTAATGTCTGGGTCCAACCTAGCAGTATCAGGGTCTAGGAGACCCAAATTGTGTGTCTTATTTGTGGTTTGTTCCCCATATGGTAAGCCACTGCGAGCTGATTAACTTGGATCTTGATGAAGTCACCTATAACTTCCCTCTCTTTGACTTGAATTGCTATCCTTTTGCTTTTAGCTCTTCTGCAGACTCAGCCTCCTCTTTCTGGCCATTAATGATGGGCTTCCTCAAAATTTGGTTTTAGGGCTTGTCGCTTTGCGTTTTCTTCCCAGGGTAATTACAGACCATAGATTTGTTGTCACTCATACACAGTAGATGCCATTGTATGTCTCCATTTTCTACCTCCTTTGAGTGCAAGACATATTTACCAAACTCATTTCATTCATTAATCCTTCCATTCAAAAATATGTCAAATAGCTGTTGTATACAAGAGACTTTTCTAGGCTCTGAATACATAGCAGTGAATTAACCAAACAAAAATCACTGTTATCCTGGAGCCTACATTCTAGTAAAGAAATAGCTAATATAGTAGAAGATAGTATTCCAAGAGGTGGAGTCAGGAGAAGCCCAATAAAGGGCGTAGAAGATGTGAGGAGAAACAGTTTTAAATAACATAATCAGGAGTAGGCCTCACAGTAAAAATATTGCTTGACAAGTGAGGCTTAGATGGGTAAATTATATGAATACTGGATTAGGCTACTACAGACCAGGAAAAGCTAACAAAACCGGAAGCAGTTTCCCTAACGTGCTCTAGGAATGGCAGTCAGATTGGGGTGTCTGGAGCTAGAAAAGGGGGTCTGGGGAAATGTCCAGGGGTATAGCATCCAGGCAGGAAGGAGCAGATGGTCTTCATAAAGGCCAGATAGTAAGCACTTTAAGCTTTGGGGACCACTTGAGAGCTCTGTCTCCTAGTCTTTCCTTCCCATCCACCCTTGTGTTTTGTTTTATTGTTTTTTTTCTAAAGACTTTCTAAAACTGGAGTTCATTCTTCTCTTATGGTCCTGTAGGCTGGCTTTGTCCTCTCTTCTAATGGGCCAGTCTTTGCCTGACCAATCCCAGAAAGAAACCTTATAGCCATTAGAAAGAGGGTCTCAGAGAGAGCCCACCCTTAGATATTTTGTGTCCCTGTCTTGGAACCAAGTCCCTCTCAGAGCCCAGCAGTGCCTTCTGATCCCTGTCACCACTGGCCCTCATAACTAATGCTGTTGCCTGCTGATTTGCCCTCCTCTGTGCCTCCGGTACTGATCCCTGTTTATACTGCTGCCTTCCTAGTGCAGGCATCTGTCACCTGGGCAGCACCCTCCTCATAAGCTCCCCACATCTGCACCTGTTTACCCCTGTCCTCAGTCAGTCCCATCTTCAGGCAGCGCGTGCTCTAACATTGTGCTAGGCATCTTATTCCGCTTCTGTTCTCTAGGATTTGTATGGTTCCCACCTCACCTTGCACTGACTTTCTTTCCAGTCTCTCCTTGCAGTCACTCTTTCTGTTCTGTCCTCAGCAACTGGGCTTCAGATATGATTACACCTCCATCTGTCTTGAGGCTTAGCTGCCGCCTTTCCTCAGCTGTCGCCTTCTATCTCTCTCAGCTCTGTTGGAAGCCCAGTGTGGGTCAGTGCCGTTCTCCAGTGAGCGAACAACGCAGTTGGTAAAACAGAAGGAATCTCATGGCCCTGCAAAGCCCATGCCAGTGAACTTGTCCCTGCACCCTTAGGCAATGGGGTCTGAGGATCATGAACATTGTGGTTCACGCCCCTCATCTATGGCATGATTGCCTTTGTCCTTATGTATTTGCTAATGATCTGACTGATGGACCTATGTTTTTTTCTCACTGTGTGCTGCAGACTCCATGGCTCCATGACAGTAGGGACACCATGTCCCCCCTCATGATGACCCCTCTGCCAGTGAACAGCCTGCCTGGCACATTAATAATAGATCATTTTCGAATTGCTGTCTGAGCAAATTGTTAAGACATTAAACTAGATTTAATTTTAGGATTATGTAACTTGGACCTGTACTTCATTTTTTTGTGCAAATATGCATTTGTTTTTTCTCTTTTAGCTTTGAAGTAGATAATCATGATTTGGGGTCATGTAAACATGTTACCAAATTTTCTAATTTCTGAAAGTTAAAAATTAAAATTCCCTTTTGAAGAGCTGTTACTGTTTTTTTTTTTTTTTTTTTAAATTTTATTTAAGGAGAAAAGAAAAAAAAAGCAGGGAAAGGGTACAAGTTATACAGATTTACAGAAAAAAAATGAACAGTAGGAAATTACTAGTTAATGGATTACATATTGTCATCTTAGAAATAATTGTTCAAGTCACAAAATTAAAGCTTGTAAAGTGGACATTCCATCAATGATACTGCAAACAGTTCTGTTCATTGATCCAATAAAACTCTGTGATATCATTTTCTATCTTATACACTTAAATATACATGCAGTTATATAGTTTGGAGCATTTTCTTTTCCTCTCTTTTGTACCATGACTATTACACATTTTGGGTTTCATTGCTCCCACGGTTCTTATTACTTTTTTGGAAGAGAGTAAAACCAAATGTGACATAACAGAACAGAATCGGTCAAGTCAAAAGGGTGGACATAATAGATAATGTAAAAACATAATACAAGGTGATCAACAATGGTTACCATAATGCCTCCCGCTATCTCTAATAGAATTGCCTATATCATTAGTTATAATACAATTGAACAAAACAGTAAAGAATAAAATCGACAAAACCAAAACATTGGAGACATTGTAGGTCTTCAAAAGTAGATAAAAGTCAACAAGAATGGGCGTCATAATGAATCTCATTATCTTCACAGCTGATGCCTAAACTTTCGAACCTGATACTATCCAGCAAAACAGAATAGGGGAACATCAGTTAAAAACCAGATGGTGAGAGTAATACAGGGCTTTAAATCAAGGTAATGAAAAGTCAAAGTGGGTTACTATAATATATCCTGCTATTTTTTTTCCTTTAATTAAAAGGATAAAGATAAAAAAGTAAATAATGGAGTGGAGATTGAGATAAAAGAGGGCATAACAACGAAACAGCGCAGATCAAAACATAACCATTTAAGCAGAATAGTGTTTCACCACCAGATAATCCTAACCTAAAAGTAGTTACCATATTGTTTCTTTCTTTGAAATCCTTGAGTACAACTTCGTATACTGTAGCATTAAGTATATCAAAACAATGTAAAACCATTCAAGAGAATGACAGCATTACAGAGTATTTAGAATCGACTAACAAAATGAACAATGGTTTCTGTATAATCTCCTTGTCTTTAAAAGGTTTTTGCTTATACTATCATACATAATAATATCCAGTTTTTGCTTATACTATCGTACATAATAAAATCCAATAAGATACAGCCTATTTAGACCATTGGAGACAGAAGGACAAAAGCTAGATGAGACTTCAAAACAAGATGATACTAAATCTGTATTACCTATTAAGATGTCATTTTCTCCAAAATAGCTGTTCCTATCATCTAATCTTCTCTGCCTCAATTCTGTTAAGCTCTTTTTCTGTCCGTAGCTGTCAGTTTGTCTTCTTCATTTTGTTCTCTGCTCCATTCGTTGTGGCCTCTCTGCCATTATTTCTGGATTCTTTGTATTTTTCTTTTTTTAGAATATCCTGCAATACTCTCTGTAGAGTTGAATTGGTGGTTGCAAATTCCCCCAGTTCCTCTTTATCCTGGAAGCACCTTGTTTTTCCATCAATTTCCAGGGACAGTTGTGCAGGATATCTCAATCTTGGCTGGAGATTATTATCTTTCAATGCTTGAATTATTTCCCCCCACGCTCTTCGTGATTTGATGGTTTGTGCAGAGAAATCTGCTGTAATTCTGATGGGTGTTCCCTTGTAAGTGGTCTGTTTCTTGTCTCTTACAGCTTTTAATATTCTGTTCTTGTATTGAATTTCTGGAATTTTTATTATTATATGCCTGGGTGTTGCTCTGTTTGGGTTGTAGGTAGCTGGGGTCCTGTATGCCTCATACATCTGAGTATCTTTACCTTTTGCTAAATTAGGAAAATTCTCCTGGATTATTTCTGTGAGTAGCTTTTGTAGTTCACTTGTTTGTGTCCCTACTTCTTCTTTTATGTTCTTAATCCTTAAGTTATGGATCCTCTTATCATCTTCTTGTCTTTGTATTATTGCTGTTTGTTTCTTTGTTACTTTTAAGAAGTTTTTTATTTCATTCTCCCATATTACAAGTCTGCCCTCCAGTTCAGATAGTCTGTCCTTAGTTTCTTTCAAGCTGTTATGCCAGTCTTCTATAGACTTCTTAGTATCTTGGTAGTCCCTTTGAACCTGCTTCACGTATTCTATGCTTTCTCTGTTTTCTCCATCAAACAATTCTCCCCTTTTTTTCTGTTCTTCCATTCCACCACCTGTTTTTTCTTGGGTGGTACTTAGCATTTCTCTAACTATTCTGCATACTTCTAGCTTCAGGTCATTGATAACTTCATTCCTGAATTGGTCTATGAGGCTCTCTATATGGTGCCTTATGTGTATTGGTGTGGTGTCTGCTATTGCCTGTTTCTCAGAATTGGAGGCCGAGGAGCCTTTCTTGTTGCTGCCTCTTCCCATGTTGCCTCTTCTTCTCTGTTCCTTATATATGCAAGCTTGTATAAGAGGCCCAGCTTCTCTCCCCGTCAGCCACAGCCTGATCGAATTGCGCCGGTTAGGTGTTCCCACTCACCGCTGTGCACCAGGGAGTTACGGACCAGGCAGCCTACGCGTCTCCCCTCCCGGCCACCGTCAGGCTCTGCGATCTGGGTTGGGACAGTCTACCAGGTCCGCCGGCAGCGTCACGCAGGCCAGGCACTTTTCACCAATCCCGCCTGAGAGGGGGATGTGTGACTGGAGTCGCCACCGCACCCTGCTCCCGCAGGACTGCTCGGGCCCAGAAAGTCCTCTGCTGGAGTCAAACTGTGGTAGTGTGTCAGTTTCTCTCACTCACCTCACCACAAGTCAGTGCACGCCTCCCTGCCGTTCGCAGATTGCCGTTCTCAGAGCTTCCGCGCGTCTCTCTCCTTGCCGCACCCTGTAGAGGCAGCCAGCCGCCGCGCGGCGGGAAACCCAAATCGCGGCTTACAATGGCGTGGTTCCAGCCTCCACACCGAGTCTTTTCTGTTCCTGTTTTAGCAGCAGGACTGCATTCCAAGTTGGCTTCTCTCAGCCCAGTTCGTTCCTGAGTCAGCAGAGCATATCTCCACCGACTTATGTCTCCTTAGTCCGCACCATTCCTGGCTTCTGAGCCGAGTCTTTCAGAGAGCCTCCGGTAGTTGCTGTTATCTGTCCGCCATGTTCTCCCGGAAGAGAGCTGTTACTGTTATAGTAGAGGGAACCAACACACTTTTATTAGGTTGTTCCAACTACAAGAATTTATTGGTCACTTCAGAAATTTGTTACTTTTAAGAGTAGAGTAAGAAATAGTATTGTTAAAATTGGATATAGATACAGAAATAAATTTTTTTCTAAAAAAATCTATTTTTGTTCAAATTATATTCTTTAAACAAACAAGGAAAACTAAAATCAATCTTAAATAAATAGAGCCTTCAAAGTGATCAGTAATATAGCCAAGAGTAAAATCATCCAAATTGTGACTAGCTGTTGATACCTGATCACTTAACTCACTGGTAAATGAGTTTCTAGACAAAACTGTCTTATTATTGTGCATGGGTGTTATAGAATCTCTTATATGCCATATCTCTTATATGTAATTTCACCAGGCGATTCTGGACAAGGACTGAGGAGATGGATCAAGGAGGTTTTAAGTCAAGATTTAACATTCCAGCACATAAAAATCATCTATCCAACTGCTCCTCCCAGGTAGGCAGTGATTACCTCACCTCTCAACTCTAAGGTGCAGATACATAGAGATGTGTCAGAGAGTCTTTAAGCTTAATTCTGTTTGTAAGAAATTGTAAATTAGGATCTTTTTCTACCATGTATTCTTTATTTTGGACTAAGTTCTGCCAGGTGAACAACTCTCCTCCTGTAAAGCATTCCCTGTATCTCGCACGTCTTCTAAACCTTTTATCTTCCCCTTATTCACCCCAGCAGAAACTTGATAAATTTAAACAATTTAGGTAAGGCAGCCTTCATAGTCTGTGAAAGAGTGTCTTATGATGTTCTTTCTGCATTTAGAAGGTTGTTTAGAAATAATGCTTGTTGAGCCCATAAAAAAGAATAGAAATATAGAATTAACTACTTAATAAGTATTTAAATTATGTAACCTATAGATCTGTTTAGCAGAATTCGCAATAATCACACTTGGATAGGTTTATTTTTTAACTGAACGTTTTATTACAGAAAAGAAACAAAGCTAGTTGTCCCACAGACAGCATCAGCAAGACAAAGAGAAATTTGCAACTTCGCTCACAGAGAGCTGGCTCCTCCAGAGACAGAGAAGCCAACACTGGTACAGTTTTGAAGCCAGAAGCTGCGTTTTATAAATATTAAGTTATCATTCACATAGTCTTTTGTTCTGAACATACGTTGTAAACTGGGGTTTGCAAATAGTTTTGTCTAAGCAAAATAATGTGCTGAGCTATGCAACCCAATCTGATTTCTTGTATCAGTTCTTGCTTTGTTTCTATTAAGCACACTGTGTGCTTCTATGGATGCTCTGCTTTTTTTGCTGCATTGACTTGGGATGAAGAAGAGAGAGCCAGGTCTTCAAGGATTATATTCATTAGTAAGAATTTACTTACATAACTGATAGAATTGCAAGAGGTAAAACCAAAATGATAAAGGAACGTGGAGGAGTCAAAACAGTTTTGTCTGTTTTAATAAGGCTTTAGAGATTTGGTGGCACAGGTAAGAAGTCTTGTTGGCCAGTGAGCTACTTTGTGCTGCTCACAGGAGGGTTCCTATGTCATGCACCTTGTTTAATTCTCTTTCCAGTAGCATCTGGGAGAGGCATGAGGTAGATAGGCACCTTCTGAACCCCTCAATTTTTTTTTCTTTGAACCCTGGATGTTTACACAGAGCTTCATTGCCAGCCCTTTTTGAAATTTTTTATTTGTGAGAAAGGATTTCATTAAGGCACAAAACTGACCAGATTAACTCAAGCCTTTGATCCTCACAGTGCTGGCTAAGGCTCACATTTTGTACTCATCCATTAATACAAATGCACTCTAACAATCTTTTTGAAAGCGTGTCAAGTTTTCATCCATTGACACTTTGCTGCACACTTTCTTACATTGTCCTGTCTTTGTCTTTCATCATCTGTGAATCCTTAGTCATTTTTCCCTTGTTGCTGGAACAAAGTACCCAACACCCAAAGTTAAATAGGGAAAGGTTTATGTAGCTCACAGTTTGTAGAGATTTCAGTCCATAATCAGCTGGCTCCAAGGCAGGGTGACACATGGCAGAGGGACCACTGTCCATAGTAACCCAAGACAGCAAAAGTAACAAAGCAGCAAGACAACCCTCTTTCTGTCCCTTATGTCCCGGAGGGTGGGTGTAATAGTCACACCCTTCATGGTCCAACACTGACCGTGAATCAATCACAAACTGTAGATTCAGCTGCCTCTGAAAAGCCTGCCTCCCCAAGACTGCATGAGGCTCTGGGGGACATCTAGACACACACCATAACATCTGACCAAGCATGCTTGTCCTACCACCTGCTGCATCTTAGAGGTATCTCTCATGTAGCATTTTAAATTCTTCCATGGATGATATTTAATTGATATGTGGGCTTCTACATCCTGTTTCTTAACCCATTTTGGCCTAGAATGGGCTGAGTCTCGTGTCTATGAAGTGATGCTTAGTATTATGTAGCTTCTCTCAAGCCAAGTGTTTATGGAAATGAATGCAAATGGAAAGCCAAAAGAGGTGAAGCTTTTTATTAGGCTACATACATGATGCCACATGTTTTGGGACAGGTCACGATAATTTACTCTTGCTAGCATTGTTTACAAGTTGCGATTGTTCCTATCCACCTGAGTATCCTCTGTGGAGCTTTTAATTTATAGTCCAACTCGTGTATGCGTATTAGTAGCTCATTTTGCTTTTAATTTATATTTCCCTAATATCGATGTTGTTGAGCATTTTTACATGTTGACAGTGACAAACCAAATCATTAAGAGTGTAGTTCAGGGAGTATTGATACATGTGTGTACCTGTCAACCTCGGGCAAGCCTAGTATGTTCTTGTCAGCTCAGCGTTTTTCTGCCTCTGTGTAGCTGGGTCCTGTACCCAGTGGACCGCAGGATACAGTTTTCCTCATTTCTATCACTGTAGCATAGTTTTCACTGTTCCTTCCATTCCTGTTAAATCATTTAACCCTGTGTCTGGCTTGGTTCTCTGCGCTTAGTGTTTCACCTGTATATGTTTCTCAAAAGTTACTTTTTAAAATTCTAGGTAGATAGTACCACAGTAGCTGTCTGTTCCATTGCTGGTAGACACCTGGGTTTTTTCTAGTTTTTGGATCAAGTGAATAGCGATGCTGTAAATACTCTTATACAGGTCCTTTGTGTGAACATAGTTTCATGGCTTCCTCTCTTGACTTCTGTCCTGTTCATTGTTCACATCTTATGCCAGTGTAAACTTTTGGTTATTATAGCCTCATAGGATGTTTTGATAGCAAGTGGTGCAAATTTTAATCATTCTAAGTTCTTTGCATTTACATGTAAATTTTAAAATGTGCTTCTTAATTTTAAAAAACACCTATTTGGATGTTGCTAGAATTATATGAATCTTAATTTTAATTTTGATAAAACCAATGTCTTCCATAGATGCATAGTAAAACATGTGTTTTACTATATGTTTAGATCTGTATTAGTTTTACTTAGCAGTAATTGAGTGTTCTTATAGCAGAAGACTTTTTCTGAATTTTTTCACGGATACTTTATGTTTCTCATGCTGTCTTAAATATTTTCTAATTATTTGTTGCTCGTATATAGATACAAATTTTATTTTAGTGTCTTGTTCTGGTGCCCTAGTCTCTGCCTAAATTCACGCATTGTTTCTAGTAGTTATGTAGGGACGAACATCTCTTCAGTTTTTGTGTAAACTGCTGTATCACAGGTGAGTGAGTAAGTCGTGGTGCTGTTTCTTTTCCAGCCCTGATGCCCTTTACTTCTGTCTTGTCTTCTTGCTTTTGTTTGAACTTCCAGTACCTTGTTGAGTAGAAGGAACGAACTCCCTGGAGTCTCAGAAGGGAAGCGTTTAGTTCGTCTCCATTGAGTATGAGGTTATAGGATTTTATTGGAGGTACTTTTTATTATTTTGAGAACATTTCATTCTTTGCCATGTGATTAGGTTACCTGGGGAGATCATCGTTTTCCTCACTAATAGCTGCTCTTATCTTTAGAAATGGTCACTTTTCGTCACTGACAATACCCTGAAGTATAATTTGCTTAATAATAACATAATACTCATCAACTTTTCTATGCTTACTTTACATGATTTTCTCTTTTCACTGTTAACATATGTATATCAGTTGTATTCAAACGGCATTTAAAATATATAGACAATATGTAGTTTCCCTTGATTTTTCCCTTTAACCTGACAGTGTGTCTTTTAAGTGATTTCCTTAAGCCACATAAATTTAGTTTACATAGAATTGATATGTGTGAATATAAGTCTATAATTTTATTCCTCTAATCTCATTTTTTCCTTCTTTTAAATTATTTGGGCATTTTAATACTGCATTTTAATTTTTTCACTTTTTCCTCCTGATCTTGCTGTGGTACAATATGTACGGCAGGCATTTCTCCTTAGAGTTGATTTTTATCACTTTTAGTGACCTGTGAAGGCTTAAATTACGCAGGGCCTTTTAGCTTTTCAGTTTATAATTATTATGTGTGTTACGGCTATCTATGTTGAAAACTCTACAAAACTGGCTTATAACTTTTGGTTTGATGGCCACACGTATTTTAAAGCACATACGAGAAGAGCCGGAGTCCCTCAGGCCTGCCTTACTTGTGGCTTGTTAAGGCATAATGTTATGTTTTGACTCAAGTTTTAATGACCATTTTGGTTATAAGTACTCTTTTTCCTCAGCTATGTTTAGTAAATCTTTTTAACCAGCTAAGTAGGAACATATTAAGTGAAAAAAATCAATTATTTTGCTTTATTAATTAAAATGGGACATAGAAATGTATTTTCTCATTATGTTAATTTGGAACCCAATAAACATTTTTATTTCTGTGACATATTTTTACTATATTTACAATTAATTTGGGTTTACTATTGCAACTTTCATTTTTTAAAAGATAATAATTTTTTAACAAGCTAGCCATCATTTATATGTTGATATAATTTCTGTTGTTGTTTGAAACCATCATAAAACTAATAGAATTTATGTAGCTCCCCTTACTTTTTGATTCGGCATTTTTCCACATAAAGTACATGTTTCTATTTTTCATTAAATGCGTGCTCTAAACCAGACCTAGGCACTAATTTAGAAGCAGTACACAATGGATTTGTCTCGTGCTCTCTTATCTCAGGCACACTTGAAGATTCCTTTACCTGGTCCCAGCAGATCTGGAGCAGGAGTCCTATTAAAAACAGCTGTTTTGAGGAAATAGTTCACTACTTTGCTAAGTTTTTTAACTAACATATTTAAGTGCCTATTATTAGGTAAAAACCTGTGGTTTCTTTATGAAAAAATGTTAAAGCAACAAAAGAAAAATTAGACCATTTTCTAGAAGTTTCAATGTGGCTTTTGTCACAGCTAAAGCCAAAAGATATTCAAAGACAAATAAAATAATTTTAGACATTATGCTATTTTGAGCTGATACGAATCATTCCCAAGTGACACAGTGATCACTGATTGACACTGTCATTCAGTAAAGCTCATGCAGTATCCGCTATGTGGGCAATGTGATAAAAAAAAAATATGATGTCTTTCAAACAGTTTACTACAGTCAAAGACACATTGCCATTAAACCCTCTCAGAATACCTACCTCCCTGTGAACGTACTGTCCCATGGTCTTGCCGCTTTCTGATCAGTCACACTGTTGTGGCTGCCTTGATGTCTCGAAAGGATTCGAAACATTTACCTTTCCTGGTCACTTTGACTCTCAGAAAGTTAGGTGGAACAGCAGGGCAGGGAACTGGAATAACTGCTGCAGGGCCCAGGGTGGGGAGGAGTCACAGGACAGAGCCACAGGAGCTCGCTTGTGAAGGTGACATTTGGCCTGGGCTTCCACTGTGCAGAAGCCTCTGATGCAAAGCTCCTGCACGGATTACGAGCTGGTCCCTTAGAGGAAAGTTAGGAGGGTGGTGACCCAGAGCCCACGGGCACTGGGGAGTCCCTAGAGGAAGAGGAGCCAGGCTGCTAGCCTCAGGCTAATGGATGGCCTTCTGTGTTTAGGCCTTTAGGAGAACCAAGATCAAAACAAAAATAGCTATCTAGCTAAGTGTCTTTTAGCTTTAGAAAACCTTGGGCATTTTTTTTTTCTAGCTTAATATTTTACCCATGTGTAATGGGTTGATTGATTGATTGATTTAGGAGCCACACAGATGTTCTTTGCCAAACATATTTATTTATTGTGGTAATGTCTGAGCTGTTTTATACCAGCTCATAAAGTGATTTATTTGAGGAAGAAGGTGAATGAGTATAACATATGTGCCAGGTTTTTTTTTTTTTTAGCTGTTTAAAAATCTGTCTTTTATGCTGTATTTAAAGGTTATTCTAACATTTTAGGAGACTTATGCATGCTTGATTATCATTCTTAGCACAGTAGTTCTAAATTATTTTTTTCTCATTAAATTTTACTAATTATCTCCTTTGAACAGAAAATTTTAATTTTCTTGGAGAAGTGAGAGAACTAAAAACCGCTAAATTAGTAAAATGCTTACATTAGGACTTTACTTCTGCAGACCGTCTATCTCTAATTAATTAAAGAAGGTATTGTGGGGGAGGGAGGAAGAAGTAAAGTGAATGTCATTTTTTTCCCATTAATGGCTCGGTTCCCAGAATGATTCACTTTTTAGCCTATGATATCATCCTTATTTAAGTGCTTAGACAGACAAATAAACACTTAGAGAAAGAGCAGAGCAAAATGGGAAAGGAAGTAGAAATAATTCAAAAGGGTAACAATCTAATTTGAACTTTAGAGTGCTGTGCATTCAGATTTGATTTAGAACTTCACTGCAATTTCAGTGACAACCCGAATACAGTCTAGGGCTTTATCTGGGCTGAGAAGGACAGTGGAAAGCACCTGCTTTGGTTTTCAGTGTTTAAGAGAGTTGTCCTGATGTTTCCTGGGAAAGGCTTGAATGCTTTCTGGCTCTTCCCACTCCCAGCTTACCTATTTCCTGGAGCTGAGCAGCTTCTGGGGTCAGGGAGTAAAAAGGAACTGTGGCAGGTTTAGGCCTAGAGCCTTAGAGATAGGTGCCCGACTTTATCCTTGCCACACCAGAGGGAAGCCTCGCTGAAAACACAAGCCTGAGAGCTCTGTCTGCAAAACTCAAGTGTTAATTTCCAATTACAATAAAACATTAATTAGAATTCCAAAAACATTTTTGTAAAAAAGAGAAGTATTTCAAAGTATTTTAAAGGTTGATTTACGTATGTAGCGGCACACACCTGTAGTCCCAGCTACGTGGGAGGCTGAATCAAGAGCATCACAAGTTCAAATCCAGCCTGCACTGCCTAGTGAGACTTTGTCTCAAAATCAAAAAAAAAAAAAATAAGAAAGGCTGGAGATGTAACTCAGTGGTAGAGCAGTTGCCCCTGGGTTCCATCACTGGCACCACCGAATGAATAAATGAATGTTTGCTAATGTTCAGGTTAATTTTTTAGGTCAGTGGTGAAGGATAGTGGGTACCTAACAATAACCAGAACAAGTACGAAAAAACATATTATTAATGATAGAAGAGAGATTTACTTCTCACAACCTCAGAACAGAAGTATACTAGAACAATGGTCAATACAACACTAATTCATAAACAGATGGTTGGAACAAAGCAGAGTCTTCTCAGTCACAGTTCCTCATCTGAATCACAAAACACAGAATAAGATTACTCCATTTTTCCAGGGCAGTCCCGTCTAACAGCACTAGATGCATCAAGTCTGCTACATGTAGTATATGTCCTAGGTGTGAGTGTCGACTCTCCCATAGAATCCAGGCAGAGAGAAACCAAATTACGGAGAACAAAATTAAGCCTTTGGAGAGATAGGGTTTCCCTCGGAGAAGGGATGTGGCTGTCTCCGTTCCTCAAGCACAGTCGCCTGTCCAGGTGGTGTACAATGGATTTGAATCCTTAGATCATTTTGTGCATAAAAATAAATTTCCAGGGGCTGGGGATTTAGCTCAGCGGCATAAGCACCTGCCTTGCAAGCAGGCAGTTGTGAGTTTGATCCCCAGTACCAATAAAAAGGAAAAAGACAAAAAAAAAAAAATTTCCCCCATGTTAACGATTTTAAAATCCAGACAGAAAACTAAAAAGAATATCCAGGGTTCTAGATGTAAAAAGCCATGGGCTGGAGAAAACTTCCTAAACAAAGGAGGAGAACCAGAAATTCAATTTTTGGAAACAAAAAATCACATAAAATGTAGTCTTATCTGGTTAAAAAAAAAAAGGAGCTTAAATACATGTCAGTGTTCAAAAATAAATTTAGAGACCAGTACTTGAAAAATAGATGACAGATGGTCATCAGTAATAGAGAAACTGCTCCTCTGCACTAAATAGAAAAAAGTTAAAACCCCAATAGCAAAAGCTCAGTCAGTCAGCATCTGTCTTTTCCTGGAGTTTTAGAGCAGCTGAGTGTTAAATATTGATGGAAGCCTGCAAGGGGAGCCCCAGGAAGTCTATGGGAATTGCCTGCCAAGGGGCATGACGGGCTTTTGCAGGGGGGCATGTCTTATGTTATTGTGGAGACTGTGGTTGTATTATCAAAAATACTTGCCTTTATACTTAAAATACATACCTTTGTATATGCAAACTATACCTCAAAAAGGTTGATTTTAAAGTTCTAGCTGATCCTCTTAAAAGACCTTTCAAAGCACGTTAATGCCTTGGCCATGAGTGCTGCAGCGGAGGGGTGTTGTCCTGCCTGGGCTTTGGAAAGTGTGTTTTTACAGCTTTATGGCAGCAGCTTTGAAACGTAAGGTGAGGATGGCACCTTGCAATCCAGTGATCCCATGTCATCTTCTCTGTTCCACAAGAACAAAAGTTCCAGTGCACAAAGCCCTGTATGCGTGTATGTTTAATGTAGCATTGTTCTTAAGGCCCAGCACCTGGGAACCAAGGAAGCTCCATGATATGGGGAAGGGAATGAAATTGTGCAGATCTTTATCTCAGAATGTGATAGGGTCATTTCAAAGCTTGGGTGAGAACTGAGTGAGATGGGAAGTTTCTGTGCAGTGTTGGTAGAAAAGAACACGACATATGTAAGGAGGGTGCATTTGCATCTCAGAATGGCAGGGTAGTACTCCAGAAAGTCCTTTAAATATGTTAGTGTGTGTTACACAGTGCAAGGCTGTCTTCCCATAGTACAGAGGATAAGAAGTGTGAGCGAGGGGACAGGAAGGACAGAGGTGAGCAAACAATTAAATGGATAGGACAGCATCAAACTAACATGTGATGACAGTTAAAATTCATACATATCACCCCATCTTTGTGGAATGTTTGCATGACTTGGGGAGACGGTAGGTTTTCAGGCTTTGCCTTAAGTGAATATTTATCTCATATATTCAAATTTTAGAAAACTTGTTGCAAGTGCTACTTATAATGTGATTTTGTCTTATGAACACACAGAAGATTCCCCAGGTATGAGTTTTTGCTCACTTGAAGTCAGGAGACCTTTTGGTTTTCAGGTTTGCTTCAGTTTCTGAGAGACACTTTGCAGACACAGCCCTCCTGACCCCAAGCTCCCGGCAGGATCCCCAATTGCTTTGTACCTGCAACCAGTGGAGAAAGGGTGGCCCAGCACACCACGGGGTGTGGCCCTGAGGACCAGCGCTCCAGCGCCGTGGCTCTGCTGCAGCTTCCTCGGGTTGTCACTGGAGAAGACAGGAAATCACGTCTGGACCTCAGCTGGGGCCTTCCAGCCCTCTGCTTTGTTTGTTGGCTTTTTGCTTTCTTTTTTTTTTGGGGGGGGTGTTTTTGTCTAGCTGCACGTTTCATATTTTTACACCACTGATTTGGGCCGACAGAGTCTGAGAAGTGTGCTGGGGTGAGAAGAGACCTGTCTTTGGTCCTCAGAAGGAAGGTCACCCGTCCTCGATGTAGACTTCTTTCCGTCATGATGGCTCTCGTCCCTGGCCATTTTCCATGGTGCTCTCATGTATAAGAGAAACCCAGTTTCTCACCCTCAGTAAGAAGTTAGGAATTCCCAAGTGTAGGCAGCGCCTTCGTCAGGCTCCCGCAGCCCGTACTGTGGGCGGCCTTTGTTCTCACGTCTGTCCTGTGTGTCCCCCATGCACCTCTCTCTGCTTACACACAAGGGTCTCTAGGTTTGCTTCTCTCACCTTTCATTTACCTTTGTCAACAGGGGACACAGAGCTGCTGGATTCGACTGTCATTGGCTAAAAGCAGAATGATGCGTATGTGTTTATGTATTTGAGTGGCATTCCAGAGCACTAACCTGTAACAAAATGGATTAAGATTCATTAGGCCTTTAATAGCCAGCATGTGAAAGGTGGAAAATTAAGTTGACCAGTTAGCTTTAGTAAACATGAAATCAAGTATAGGAAGGTGAATGCGCTATGTGAATTATTTTAACATGAAACTCAGAAAATTAAAATTGTTCATGCGAAACATTAGTTTTTCAAGAAGCTTTTTTAATACTGTTCCTCATTCCTCTTCCTGTTGTCTGTTGTCACAGGCCGTACACTCCCATGAGGGGCAGGATCTCCAATGTGTGGTTTGACAGACTCAAGATCTCTAATGACTGCCCCGAGCACTTGGAGTCCATTGACAGGATGTGCCGGGAGTTGACCGAGCTCATCGATGAGGAAGTCAGCGGCGGCATCAGCAAGAGGCGGATACTGCTGGGTAGGACCGTAGCATCTAGCACCTCATGTCTTCGGTCCCCTCTAGTGCTGCACATCAGCTTCGCATTGTTTGGAATCTTGCTAAGAATCTCTTGTATATCATTTGACTCGTTCCTTGTTTTAGATATACTATGTAGTATGGCTTTGAGAAATACTAGAATCAGAAATAACTGCTCATGAAATTCTGACTTTGTTTTTGAGTAGTAGCATAATTTGCCATTTTTAATAACAATTAAATTTGTTCAGTTTAATTATTAACAGATTTGCTTCACTTTTCAAAATATTTTAATTAGCTTAAGTCTGATGAGCATAAGATTAAACTACTATTTCTGTGATTGAGACATAATAGAAATCAAAATATAGCATCAGAGTGATGAAAATTAAACTTTAGGGTAAATCTCATACGGATGAATTAAATAAGTCTTCAGGGAGCCATGTTGCCAGGAAAACATAATACCACTTTATGGACATTTACCTTGTTTAATGCTTTTTCTGTACTTATCAAATACACAAGCTAACAAAATCTCCATTTCTCTAATATATACAAAAGTGAAGTGAGTATATGGGATTCAAGGTATGGTCGGGTGAAAAATGTTTTTCCAAATATAAGTACCTAAGTGTATTTCATGATGAAGTTATAAACCAAATTAAAGCATTATGTTCTAAGTAACATGGAAATACATATTGATGGCCTAAATAGGCAAGATTTGGATACATTAGTGGGCAGACTATGAAATTCCTCTGTGTGTACTGACGTGCTTAACTGCCCATTGATTTAAAGGGGTGACGTGATAGGAGGGATAGAGTCCATCTGCTCTGTCCTGGCTGCGACTTCCACTTCAGTTGATTAAGAGCAGTGCAGCCTCCCGTGCAGCAGTGTCAGCTTTCTGGGGCTTGGTTTGCTCATCTGCTCTACATTTTTAAATTTGACATCAAGGGCTAACTCTACTGGGTACAAGCATGGAACATGCTGGGAGTGCTAGGAAGGGCCCAGGGAGAGGGCACCAGACACTCCCCAGGGCCTAGGAGACAGAATTATAAATGTGTAAGTATCTGTCAGATTCCATCTTGCACTCATTAGCAAGTATATTTTAAGTCCTAACTGTGCTGAGCAAGGTGCTCAAAGGGACACAGATAAATCGGAGAGGTTCTGTTTCCAGATTTCTGACAGCAGCAAGGGCTGGTGAGGGCTGTGCCCCAGCCAGGCTGCAGTGTCCCAGCATGGTGTGGCCACTAGATCTACAAAAGAATCAGTCAGGCGTATTCTGCTTTAGCTCCCAGAATCCATCACTGTGCCCACCACAGAACTTAGGGCCAGGAAATCTCCAGTAAATAGCATAGTGAGTATCATTACCAGTGAGTAAACTGATGATTTCAGTAATTACATACCTTAGGAGTTTAGAGGAAGAAGGAGTCATAGATACTTAGGCTGTTAGAGTAGGGTATAATAGAAAGGGGCGATGGCTTTTGAGATGCATAAGTTGTTAGAATGTTAGACAGTGCAGTAGGGAGGGCTGGTACACAGAGTGATGTGAATAGCATGCTGGAAGTAGAGAAGGTGACTAGGTTTTACGGAATCCTACACATGATTTGGATATCACGGAAAGTTCATTGTGAGTAGCACTCCGTGGACTGTGATGGTGAGCCTGAGGGACTGGGGACCCAGACGGTGTGGAGTTCACAAAGGCTGGTCCAATCTGAAGTGTGCCACGGCCCAGTTGACCCACCACTTAATTACCTGCATTGCAATTTTGCTAAAAGTAGAAATGATGCTTATAAAATACTTGCTTCATTCTAGGTCCCTAGACACTATTTTCTTTGGTTCCCCTTTCTCCCATCCTGTGATATAATTATGTACCAAGTAATCAGTGAAGGATTACTGAAGAATGCTATTAAGTCATACATTTAATTAGAATTATAGTTTGGAGAGCGAATCTGGCTGAAGGATTGAAAGTTGATCAAGGGAAAAACAGCCCCTGAATGCGTCAGGACAAGATTTAGAGACTAAAATGTGGTGGAAGTAGGAAAAGAAGAAATTAGGAGGAGAAATTACTTTAAGGTCAAATTACAAAGTCTTCATCAATTAAAACTGTGGAAGGCAGACAGATTGGTTCTCTTATGGAGCCTGTATTAAAGAGGTATCACATCCGGTGGAACCCCGGTCTCCTGCACACCCCAAGATCAGTACTTCATCAGACTCATCTTTGGCTATGAAAAAGACCACGGGTTCTCTTAAGATCAGAGAGCCAGAAAAATTTTGAACCTAGGACTACTTCCTTTCACACTCCATGCCTTTCCCATTAAATGGAATCTTTTTAAGATTCTCAATACGCGTTGTCAAGTTCCTTTCAAAACAATTTGTAGCAGTGGATACTTCTCCTGCCTATGTTAGAGGGTCCTTAATTGCATCTGCATTGCATAACAGTCTTAAAAAAATTTTTGGAAAAATAGGGAGCCAAGAAATGTAACTAATTTTAGTATGCTATTTTGATTTTTAATCCAGTTATAGCCTGACACTGAAGGCCTTTTTAAGTTCAATCTGTTAGTCTTTTCATTTATTTGTTTATCCAAATAATCTCTAATTCTAAAAAGCTTTTCTCTCTCTAGAGCTTGGATGAATATTCAACTGGATTTTTTTAACTGGTTTTTCTACAACGTGTATTTGTTTTCTTTATTATTTATTTAATTACCTGATTTCTTTTCTTTTTCTGGTGTGTGTGTTTTTTTGTTATTCATGTTTTGCTTCCATATAGTGAATAATTATTTTCTGAGCTATGAAGAGAAATTTGTAAGAAGGTAATCTTATTTACAATAAACCAATCAGTAACAGACCCAGTTGATTTTATCAAAGCTCCATTGACTTATAAGAAAATAATCTTTTGTAAGACTTGCAGACTGCTATATTAGAAAATCATAAAATTTGAAGTTCTGCTATATAGCTTTATGTATAAGTATTGTCAAGTCTGAAAGTGAGATAGGAAAATGCATGTCTTTAGAGTTTGTAGGGGAATCATTCCTTTCTGCAGTTCCCTGTCCTAGCTTGAGATGGGAGAGGGGCCAGCAGAGGCGCAGGTGTCAGCCTCCGTGCACTTTGCCTTCCCGGTCGTAGGTGTTTGAGGGTGGCGAAAACCGTCTGCAGTAACAGTTCTCCGTGGTCATGCATGTGCTGTGGAATATGCAGGCAGGACTCTCGTGCTGTTTCACTATAAAGGTGATTTGTGTCGCCCCCCTTTTGTGTGCTGGGTTCTTCATCAATATTAGCTGTTGACACATAGAACAAATAGAGAATGCTGTACAACCCCGTGGAATTCTTGTCGTAGTTGTTTTTAGTTCTCCTGGCCTAGTGAAATCTCTTCTGTATTTGAAGATCTGACACAAGAGGTGTTACTGCCTACTTACTTATTCCACGTTGCTGTTTAGAGGTAGTAGACCCCCACCTCCTGAGCTGTGAGCATCCTTGCAAACGTGGGAAGGCAGGCAGTAGCAGGTAATGAAGTGAAGACCCAGGCCACAGCCTCAGGCTGCTGGTCCTGGCTCACCACTCACAGGTGCACTGCTTCCCGCACCTTCTGGTCGGGGACTGTGACACTAATGCCCCTTGGGAGTTTTGTAACTTAGTCCACCTCTGTGAAATGCTTGACTCAGAAATGCATCTGCTGTGTAATGTTGTAAAAGCGTTCTTACTTTCCCATACTTTCCAATCCACCCCATGCCAGTAATCAGATGGCAGAAAGGCCACCTGGACCCGTGCCACCCCTGGAGGCTTGCGGTGGCTTACTCTGCCTCCTTCTGGACGCTCGCTTTGTCCCTGGTGCCTGTGTCTGTGTCGTTCTGTCACCGCTCGTGGACCGTTTACACAGGACTTACCACACAGTATTCTCTGCTGATTTTTACACTAAATAGTACAATTTAATTTGCTAGGTAAGATTTAAGTGCTCTTCATAACATTGTTATGAAAGAAGGATTCCATGGGGGATCAAGGGAAAGTTCCATTTGAGATTACGCTTTATATTAAAAGCATACGCATTCTCTATACTGAGGTTATGTGTTTTAAAAAATTATAATGGGAAAAATTTCAAAATAGTAAGGTTGAAAAGAGAACTTGATTTGTTGGTATAAAACTTGTCAACTTTATGCCTTTTGCTTACTGTGTGGACAAAGCTGTAGTTTACCATTGACAGTACGTGCTAATGGCCCATGTCTCTGAGGTCATATCTGCAGCCAGGGAGTTTTGTGAAGACAGCTCCGTCTGTGTTTGATGTCGGTGGGAGCCCATTTTTCCTCTGGGGTTTTAGTTTAATTACTGCTCTTTTCTTTGATTCCTGCATGAGCCTACGGGCAGCCTAGCTCACCTGGTCCCCTGGAAATGATGCTTCCCATCACTAAGGTTTATCTCCAAGGTGTTAGTGCTGGAGTGCCAAGAAACCTCTCTGCCAGTTTCCTGTCATAGTGCGCATGCAAAGGGTACAGGGCGCGAGCACAGCAATGAGAAGGTCCCCAGCCCTTTCTGGAGCTGCTCTGAAGAACAGGTGACCCTCCCGCAGCTGGGTCTCCAAGGATGAGTAAGAGTTTGATGCATGGAGAGAGAGCCAGGCAGCAGCAGCACACACACCTGCAATCCCAGGCTCCCAGAGGCCAAGGCAGAAGGACTAAACACCTGAATACCGCAGTGATTTAAGGAGACCCTGTCTCAAAATACAAGGGCTGGGGTGGAACCCAGTGATACATAGCGCCTCTGGCTTCCATCCCCAGAACTGCAATCAGTCAGTCAATTAACCATAAATTAAACAAAGAGAAGCGCATTCCTCAAAGGTAATAAGGAGCCAGGTTCTCCAGGAAGTGGCCGCTTGGTGTACTGGTACGTACCCCAGCTCACTTGGCACGGATGGAGATGGGACGAGGGGACCCGAGTGACCTGCAGAGAGGGGCCAGGAAGGACACAAACCCAGGAGGTTCACAAGAGCAAGTGAAGTCTAAGTGACACACCCTACTGTGGGACTT